GCCACATACCAGAAAGTTTTAGAGCACTTCATGCTTCCTGCAGCTGACCAACTTTTTGGAGATGCAGATTTCATTTTCCAACAGGACTTGGCACCTGCACACAGTGCCAAAGCTACCAGTACCTGGTTGAAGGACCATGGTATCCCTGTTCTTAATTGGCCAGCAAACTCTCCTGACCTTAACCCCATAGAAAATCTATGGGGTATTGTGAAGAAGAAGATGCAATACACCAGACCCAACAATTCAGAAGAGCTAAAAGCCACTATTAGAGCAACCTGGGCTATCATAACACCTGAGCAGTGCCACAGACTGATCGACTCCATGCCACGCCGCATTGCTGCAGTAATACAGGCCAAAGGAGGCCCAACTAAATACTGAGTGCTGTACATGCTCATACTTTTCATGTTCATACTTTTCAGTTGGCCAACATTTCTATAAATCCTTTGTTTTTATTGGTCTTCAGTAATATTCTAATTTTCTGATATGATGAATTTGAGATTTTCATTTGTTGTCATTTGTAATCATCAAAATTAAACAAAATAAACATCTGAAATATATGAGTTTGTATGTAATGTATGAATATAATATACAAGTTTCACTTTTTAAATGGAATTACTGAAATCAATCTACTTTTTCATGATATTCTAATTTTATGACCAGCACCTGTAAAGTGTTTTATATCATTGCATAGGGTTCTTGTTTATTAAGTCTCTAAGTAACAGGTCCCAAATCACATCTGTCCTGAATTACTCACCTTTACTTAGTAAACTTGCATATAAAAACAGTTTTATCAATTCATATCTCAGCTGGAAAAGTTACTGTTAATGCTTTTGAATTGCCTGAACAGTTTTGGGCATCTCTAAATTGTTTGTTTAGTATAACAACTTTAAGAGCTTAATTTTGAGGTTTTTTTTCTCTTAACCACATTACTGATAATATGAAACCTACTTTTTTAGGTTCCTACCATTTATTCTTTATCAGCTGCGTTTCTAAAGGAAATATCATTGTATAATGTTGACATATTCCATACAAAGAAAACAATAAAAAAAAACAGAGAAAAAAATCTCATTTGAAGACACAAAGCAAACATGATTCATGGTTAATGTATTAGTCTGTCCTCTGTGGTAGAGGCTGGGTTAAAGATAGATTGTGGGCTGAACTGTACATGCAGTTAATGATAAACCAAAGAAACTGGGTTAGCTCCTTAGCCTTGCAAAACAGTACTTGTTGAAACTTGGATTATGTTAACAATCACTCATTAGGGAAACTGTAAATACTGGGCTTGTAGAACCACCTCTTTAAAAAGTTGTGTTTTTTGCTTTTAAAGAGTTAATGTCAGCCAAGGAGAGAGAGGCAAAGTAAACACTTTTAAATCCCAAGACTTCCTTCTTTGGAGTTTCACCTGAAACTAAAAGAAACTCTGTATACAGCACTCACAGGATATACACTATATTGCCAAAAGTATTTGCTCACCCATCCAAATTATTGGAATCAGGTGTTCCAATCACTTCCATGGCCACAGGTGTATAAATTCAAGCACCTAGGCATGCAGACTGTTTTTACAAACATTTGTGAAAGAATGGGTCGCTCTCAGGAGCTCAGTGAATTCCAGCGTGGAACTGTGATAGGATGCCACCTGTGCAACAAATCCAGTCGTGAAATTTCCTCGCTCCTAAATATTCCACAGTCAACTGTCAGCTGTATTATAAGAAAATGGAAGTGTTTGGGAACGACAGCAACTCAGCCACGAAGTGGTAGGCCACGTAAACTGACGGAGCGGGGTCAGCGGATGCTGACGCGCATAGTGCGAAGAGGTCGCCAACTTTCTGCAGAGTCAATCACTACAGACCTCCAAACTTCATGTGGCCTTCAGATTAGCTCAAGAACAGTGCGCAGAGAGCTTCATGGAATGGGTTTCCATGGTCGAGCAGCTGCATCCAAGCCATACATCACCAAGTGCAATGCAAAGCGTCGGATGCGGTGGTGTAAAGCACGCCGCCACTGGACTCTAGAGCAGTGGAGACGCGTTCTCTGGAGTGACGAATCGCGCTTCTCCATCTGGCAATCTGATGGACGGGTCTGGGTTTGGCGGTTGCCAGGAGAACGGTACTTGTCTGACTGCATTGTGCCAAGTGTAAAGTTTGGTGGAGGGGGGATTATGGTGTGAGGTTGTTTTTCAGGAGCTGGGCTTGGCCCCTTAGTTCCAGTGAAAGGAACTCTGAATGCTTCAGCATACCAAGACATTTTGGACAATTCCATGCTCCCAACTTTGTGGGAACAGTTTGGAGCTGGCCCCTTCCTCTTCCAACATGACTGTGCACCAGTGCACAAAGCAAGGTCCATAAAGACATGGATGACAGAGTCTGGTGTGGATGAACTTGACTGGCCTGCACAGAGTCCTGACCTCAACCCGATAGAACACCTTTGGGATGAATTAGAGCGGAGACTGAGAGCCAGGCCTTCTCGTCCAACATCAGTGTGCGACCTCACAAATGCGCTTCTGGAAGAATGGTCAAAAATTCCCATAAACACACTCCTAAACCTTGTGGACAGCCTTCCCAGAAGAGTTGAAGCTGTTCTAGCTGCAAAGGGTGGACCGACGTCATATTGAACCCTATGGATTAGGAACGGGATGTCACTTAAGCTCATATGTGAGTCAAGGCAGGTGAGCAAATACTTTTGGCAATATAGTGTACATGGTAAACATCTTGACCTAAACTAAATACAAAACCCTGCTCTTGCCTTATAAGACATAATAATGTGTTTTTGTTTGTTCAACCTCCATTTGACAGTAGCCTTATAAAAAAAATAAAGATTTCAGTTCTTTTTTCCCCCTTTTTTTCTACAGTGATTTCTTAGTTGGAAAGGTTCAATTCTGGTTGCTCTGACAACATAATTATGTGTACTTAAGCATAGGCTACAGAGAGTGGCGAGTAAGAGCCATAAGCTGAGCATAAAGGAGAGAGAGAGAGAGTGCTAGGGAGTAGTGGTTTTTCATTATTGGTGCGTTTGAACCTTTCAGAAAATAAGCAAAGCAGAAGCTTGAACCTGAGCCAGTGGCACTTTGTACTCTGCTCCTTCTGTTTCCTCACCTAAACTATTGGTTGTCCAGCTGAAAAGCTAACCGCTCAAATACAAGCGAGAAATCTTAACACATAATATTTGTAAAAAAACTATAAAAACAAGTTTATTGTGTTGTATTTCTAATGCATTTTGGAAAACTTGTGTTTTTGTAAGTCTAACTATTCTTTTGGAATTTTATACCACAAACCAACACACATTACTGCATAATTGTAAACTGGAAAGAAAACAGTAAATGGTATTCACTTTCACCCATTCATCTTTACAAAAATCAGCCTTAGTTGGAATGGATGAAAAGCATCGGTGGACTTTAATTATTATTCTTGCTACAGATTCTCAAAAGAATTTCCATTTGGAATTTGTGAACACACTTTGGCCTTGTCTAATCATTGTGGATTCACATTTACCCTGTTTTACATTTTTGCTTATCTGCCTACAGTATATAGCTTGTGGTAAATGTTGTTGAGTTTTTTCTCTCTACTTTCCCTGCATGCACACTCGGTGTGAGGGTTTGCTTTAGAATCAGCTTCACAATGCAAGCCAATATCTACTGTTACCATATGCTAATCCTAAAGGAGTGTGTCCTGCAAGTCAGACTCAATGTAGTCAGTTGGTTTTCCTTCAAAACTTTTTACCAGTCTGACTGTATGACCTGATTGAATTGTCTCTGTAAAGTGCCTTGAGATGACACCTGTTGTAAATCAGCACCTCATAAATAGACATAATTAAATATAATAGAATTTTGTTTTGTTTTGAGCTATAAATATATGCATGTATTGTTTATATTTCGATTAAAATGCATGTAACACTTTGGAAACACTGAAAACACTAATAATTGTGATTAAAAAAAAAAAAAGTGAAACATTTTAAGAACAAGGTACTGTAAATTATGAGTTCAATATATAACATTAGTGCTACTCTTAACATCTGAATAACCTTAAAGTTCCTCCACCTCACATGGAAAATATGACAGAAATGCAATCCGAGCTAAAGCATTTTGACCATTAAAGCTGAAACTGCAAACTGCACAGCAAGCGTTCGACACTGCACCTCAAAAGCAGTCTCTGCAGAATCCAAAAGCAGACCAGCACCCCAACCGTGGTACTCCACAGTCATTCACACCTAAAAGCATTCAAGCACACACACACGTACCACTCTTTCTTTCCCCATCTTGATTAGATTACAGTGAGCGAGCTGGTGACAGCCTCTGGGCATGCTTGAGGAGCGGTTGATATCTGAGCCGTCCTCCTCAGCCCTCAATCTCAGACAGTCAAGACAGAAAGAGATAATATGTCTAAAGAGCTGACCTTACTGATGAAAGCCGCATCTAGAGAACCCTTTGAAACAAAATTGTTAACCTTGAACGCAATGTATTTTTATCTACTAAATTTAGAAATGTGCAATAAATTGTATGTTATCTATTACAAAATATTTACAAGCAAACCTTGCATGTGCCTAAATTTAATTTTCATTCATGTGGAGTATGCCAAACACTTTCGTTAATAAAACTGGAGAGAAAGCTCAGCATTAAAAGATAACTGGACACATGCAACAAGAGCATTGGAGTCAAAACCAAAGCTCATATCTAGCTCTCTGACAAAAAAGCAGAAGCTGTTCCCAAACAGAAAGGACTTTGTTCCTATTGTAGCTTCTGACCACCTACCAAGGGTTCTTTACAGAAGCACTCACCCTGGAATGATCAGACCACCTCACCCCCAAGGCTCCACAGGCCTACTGAGACCTCTGGGCTAAACACATCCTACCCATCTCCTGAGAGATTATCCAACTCAATGAACACATTGAGAGCAGAAACATTGGAAGAAACTGGAGCCTGCTATTCAGCTCTAACTGAAACCAAACTCTTCATTCACACTCACAGTGGAGAGGGAAGAAGAAACCAGAAGACGTGCTGCACTTACTTGCTACTTCCAGTGAGGCATTGTGGCTCACTGCCTCTCCCAGGTAGTTGCGAGCAACACAGACATAGGAACCTTCATCTGGTTTGCTTCGTCTTCCATGGACAATCCGAAGGAAGAAAAGGGAGCCGCTGGGCAACAGCATGCGCTGGGAACGGGGATTGTCCTTGTCTGTTTCCACCCGCTCACCATCTTTGTACCACTCAACAGTTGGGGCAGGCCGTCCCTCCGCCTTGCAGTTAAGAGTGGCAGGCTCCCCTTTTGATACAATAAGGTCCGATGGGTGCTCTACAATCCTAGGTGGGGTGTCCTCTTGCCGCAGCCGAGATCCTAAAGTAAATGAGACAGTGAAAATTATTCTCTGCAAAACTTTACACCAGTAAACGTGTCATTTTTCTATAAATGGGAGATTTGCCCTACTAAGATAAATGGTTTTAGGAAAAATATTGCATTATATTGGGCAACACCATTGAACCATTAATCATTTACATTTTCTCACATCAAAGACACAAACATCAACATATTTCAAGTTCACAACATAAAGCAACAACACCTTGTTGAACATTACTGTAAAGTAGCAGATACATGGTTTTGAAAAGTATTTAGGAAGACAAATCACAAAAATGGGGTTTCCAATTTACATGCATTTACTCTCAATCAACATGTAGTACTACAAGTGTGCTGTAGGTCTTTTAAAATATCTTCAAGGCAGCTTAAGTCATCTATTTGTCCCGTCAGCTTTGTGGCATAATTCAGGCTCAGTTAAACAGTACAGAGAGCACCCATGCACATAGATGTTGTAGTCTTGCATCAGATTCTTAATAAAATTTTGGTTTGTAATTTGACTCGAAATTTCTAATGCACTGTAGCCCTGGATGTATTTTTAAGGTATATTTTCTGATGGAAATTGAGCCCCTGCCCAAATCTTAAGTCCTTCTTCAAGTTCTACTAATCTGTTTCTGTTTATCCTTCTTTTTTAGCTGCATCATCCATTCATACTAACTCTTGCCTACTTTGCTATGGCTATTAAGGAAAAGCACTTTACAGCATGAGCTGTCATCACCATGTTCCCCTGTGGGGGGAAATATCAGAAGTGTCCCCAGCATAGTATGTGGTGCACCACAAACAAGAGCAGTTTTGGTTTCCTTCAACGAAGCCCTTCTGGTTTCCACTCTTAGAAAGCCAGAGTTTGTGGAATGACTAAATGTTATTCCATTGACAGATTCCACCACCTGAGTTAGGGATGCCTGCACCTATTCTGCAGTTACCATGAGCCCCTTGGCTGCTAGTCTAAACAAGCCACTCCTGTCTCTACCTCATTTTTGGTGGCAGCCATGTGTTTGTATGTTTAGAGCTTTCCAACACTTCTGATTTTTATATTCTTTTATTTTTAGATATTACACTGAATAATGTTCTTTAAAATGTTCAAAGCTAGAAATACAGTTTCATTACCTAGTTAACATCTTTGAGGATGTTATTCTGGTTCTTTGCTCTTTATTATGCTCTTTCTACAATAATGTTCTCTAGCAAACCTTAAGCTATGCATAGCTGTGTTTAGGCTCAGATTAAAATACAAAGACAAAAGTTATCTGTACAAATTAGGTGATTTGTAAAGACCACTGCCTGCACCTTACTTATTTGAGGTGCATTGGAGTAAAAATGGATGAATACAAATGTCGTAAGGTCTAAAGCTGTTATGTGAAGAAATGGGAATACTTTTGGAAGGTCCTTACTACTCTATTGGTTTTGCATACTAAGACTTTTGCTTTTGCAATAATTTAATACAGTACAATACATAAAGCATATCTATGGGACAGTTATTAAGAAATTATATCAACTAAAAAATATATAGGTTAATGTAAAAACTAAGGTGTTGAATATACTAGGTGTACAGATAACATTCTGCCAATGTGGAACATCAGTTTTTAATTACAGCATCACTGCTTCAGTAAAGGTCAACAATGCTGCAATCTATGTCACTTTCATTTTTCAGATCAAAGGAAAAACAAAGACAAGGAAGGGAACTGTATAAAAGATAGATGCACCTTGACAAGAAAAGGAAATTAAGTGATAAAGGATAAGATAAGGGTGAACCTCAGTGGCCTTGCAAACTGGGAGCTGAGAGCAGAAACACTCTGCTAGAGAATCTAAATCAGTGTCAGCATCCGTGTCAAAGGAGTTAACACCCGAGTGCCATCTCTGGTCATTACTATCACTCCCTGACCAGTCAGCTGTGGCTATCAAGCTGATTTACATGTAAATCAGCTTCCTGTTGTTAATTCCTAAAGGGTTGGTCTTTCACTCGGCTCCTACACACGAGTTTCATGCATGGTGCTTGTCGTAGAGAGATAGAAGGCTCATCCCTCCTCAACATATTGCCCACCGTAGGCCTTTTGGAGCCAATTCAGCACCAATTAAAAGGAGTCAGGTCTAATTGGAGGCATAGGCCTGCAATTAATTTACCCAGTATCCCGTGAACTTACCACACTGCCTCATTTATGTGCCATCAACCCAGCCCCAACCCAGCTTTCCCCAGTAGCTGGTGCTGAGAAGGCATCTTCCATTGCCACATCTTTTTAAGCAAAGTCAGCATAATTAATGACAGCTCTGTGGAAAGATTAATCACTTCAATGCAAATGTGTGGTGTGGCCAGTGAAACATAATTAATCCAGCAGTCCAACAGAGGACATTTTGATCATGACTCATTTAAAGGGAGGCCTAAGCTAACAATGATAACAGGTACTGAGAAGACTTTCAGAAATAAATTGATATTGTTATCAGAAATTTGTAAATTAGCAGTTCTCTCCTAAAACGTACGCATCTTCTCAGCCAAATGTATTTTCATTAATTGTATTAAAAGTGTTTAATATTTAGATTAATCTTATTTTTTTTGAAGATACTTCTGTGTTAAAGAGGCTATTTTTATTTAAAATTACTCAGAAAACATTGAAGTCTATTTTACAATAGTTGTCTAGCTGTGGTGCAAAAAATGCGTATTCTTTTTTTATACTGAGCCAGGAAATTAAGTGTGATCTCCGGCTAACAGCCAGTCAGTTGGTCATTATCTGTTAATTAAAAACTCATTTTAAATTATTTTGAAATGGGAAAGTACACCTTATAACTTACTCTGTGTTGATCTAGATTATGTTTTTACTTTTAAATGTTTTAAAGTGGCACAACCTGGATGGTTGGCTAGTTAAGCAGTAGTTAAGTAAAAGTGGAAATTCCAAGAGAGACCTGTTAAACCCAGCCATGGCCTGCTGCCTGTATTTGCCTGCAGTGACAGAAAGTAAATATAAACAGTTTATGTATATATATTCATATAGTAAAACCTGTGATTTGAATATACATTTGTGGTTAATTTATTCATTCTTAACTGTTTTGAAACAGTTTAAAGACAAATATTTTGAGATGGGGAGTAATGATCTGAAGGAGTCCTGTCACTTTTTCTTGTAGAAACAAGTGATATACATTCTCCATAAGTTGGATTCACAGTAAATGTGTTCTGGGCGTCAAAACATTTGATTTAAATACAAAGTATATGATGGACAGTGTCAAGTGGCATCGATAGGTCCCCAAGCACTTAGTGCATGGGTTCCCAGCTTTAGAGCCACGATAGGGTATTCCAGCCCTAACAGTTAAACTTGATACACATTGTTTTGAATTATCAAAAAATAGGCAATGCAAGGAAATATTAATATCTGCTTTACATGCATACATGCTCTGACCCGAAAAAAGTAAAGTCCCAAGTGTGGTCAATGGATCTGGGCCCACAAGGAGTAGTTGGCCCCCACAACGTGCTATTCTTTCAGAAAATGGGCCCCATAATGTATTAAAAACAAAAGCACACATACACACCACAGAGTTAACAATTACATGGCCACACACTACACAGCCTTCATTGGCTTTTTTTGTGGTGTTCTAGCTTTTGTTATCGTGTTGTTTCTTTTGTCTTCACTTTGTGGCTTTTTGGATTTTGTTGCCCCCTCTGGGCCACCATACCTCTGCAGATCACTGTTGGATTTATATGACAAAGTGTCAAACTTGGTATCCAACTGGAAATACAGCAATGTTTTGTTTTTTATTAAAACAGCTTATACAATTTGTTTGGAAATTATTTTTTAGCATTCTGAATAAAATCCTAAGCGTATTCATGTTGTGTATATGTGTATTCTTTGCCATGCTAATCCCAACAGATACATGGAGCTAACGCCATTACCTCAGCTACATCACTCACCACAGAGGGAAGAGACAATGATGGAGGTTGGGATTTATACACCAAAGACTAAACACACAATCATGACCCTTTCTACAGGTGGAAACACTTTAAGATTATAATTAATTTAATAACTTTAAATGCAGCACAGACAGAAGTCCAAATCTAAAATTTAAATAAGTGAGGAGTATAGCTTCACCACTGAATCAAATTGTTCAGTCTTTTTTCTCCTAACTGTGAGTCATCTAACCCTCCCCCATCCCCTGCAAATTCGCTTTTTTTAAAATACTACCCTTCCTTCTCCTCTAGTGCTTTCAGGCACCTTCTTACCCCCCAGCACACACACACAGATGGTTTACTTGCACACAGAGAATGTGAGATCAGCTAATGCAACACACAACCTTACCAAAGGGAAGCTGGGACTTCAACTGCAAGGATCTGATCGATTGGTGCCTGAGGCAAGATTCTCCTTCTGCCTTAACCCTCACACTTGCTAGAGAGCTTCTGTGTTTTTTCCTTCATTAACTTAAACATTCAAAGATTTTAACCATGTCTTTGGAAACTTTGTGCTTGTGGCAGTGGCAATAATAATAATAATTAAAAAAAAAAAAGTCAGAGACTTTTTGTTAATGAACTGGGCCTAACAGGATGCTATAACGCGAAATCTAGATGCAAGTGACACATTCCCAGAGTTCAGACTCAGAAACTAAACAACCCGTGTTATAAAAAAAAGATCCAAAAGGCTCGAGGTATTGTTTACTTCAGAAATGCATCTTCCTACCATCCTAATAAGATTTGCAAGGATTCTTAGTAAACCAAAGCCATTTTTCTAGTCATTAGATCAGCAACTATAATTTGCATATCAACATTTAGGGGACCAGTTTTTTGCAATCCATCTGTTTTTTGGTGCCAAACTTAATTTTCTGATTTGAAGCTTAATCTTCATTGACCAGTGGCCAATCATCTTGGGTGCAAAACATAAAAAAAAAAAAAAAATAAGTTTCTTAAGAATGTGATAAGATTTTGATCTGGTGTTGTGTCTGTAGTTATTGCTGTGGACGCTATTAATCAGGATAAGATAAAGTTAACAACTCTTTGAATCAGTGGGCTATTT